AATAGGGAATGCCCGAGAAAGTTCCCATCTGAAATCGAATATGATTCGGCATTCATGTTATGCAAACGGAAAAGCTGAGTACCCGTGATACGGTAAGATTTTACGCCTCGCACACGGAACGTTTGTTGTTAAGGGCGTGATCATCCGTGGCCGTTGAAAGTTTCGTCGAAGAATAAGTTTTGGTTTTTTACAAACGAAGTGTCTTTTTCTAGTCGCGTATGACCGGATTTTTTTATATTCGTGTATGGTTTGTTTTTTTTTTGCTGTTCTGCGTCTCGCTTACGGGTTAGGCTCTAATGGTTCCTGCGTGCAGATCAAGCGTAATGATGTAAGAATTTTACACGACTGTCACGACCGTTTACGCGCTTTGTGTTGAAACTTATATATTAGCAGTTAAGTGAACAGCTTTGCGGCCCAGCCTGTTCTGCCTTGCATCATGATCAAATACGACATATCGCACGCGCATAATACGACTCTCTATGATACTTTTTCATAGGAGATTTGCCTATGAAACTATGTTGATATCTTGTGCGCTCATAGGCGTTTAAGGAGCGGCTTTATGACGCAAGCAGTGAGTTTCAGTCTGTAAAGCGGAAAGCGAAGTTGACTCGCTAATATTTGTCAGAGGAATGAATCTTCTATGACAATAGTGTCATGTGGAGAGCGTATATGCGTATGTCGTATTGTCATAGATGCAAGCAGAACATGTTGTTGCGCAATGTCTTGCTATTAGGTGATGTTAGTATGTGGTCATATCTAGTAGGTCTATCGCGACGGTACTGTATGCTATTCTTTCAGTCGATTTATGGCTGATGTCGACATCAAGTATCTTAACAAGTCACTGTATTGTGTCTCGAAATATATACAAAACATGACGGCTGATGAGTCGTCTTCTCGAACATTCCTATTTATTTAGTGTTTACCATTACGCGCTATGATAGATGTTCCTAAATTATGACCCTGATTCGTAGTTAATTGGTAGTTGGAAAATACGGACGTGCGACCAGTTTAGAAAAAAAATGGCCATGCGCCCGTGAAAACACGCGATGCTTAGATGGCACATTACTGAAGTTCGGGTACGCATGTAACAGCCCTATATGTATTTTGACATTAATCGGGAAAAACGCGCATCAAAAACAATATCGCCAATTACAACGTCTACTGTAAGGCTTTAGCGTTAATGTGTCTCATCACGCGCCCCGGTTACAACCAACACACAACAATTTCACTGCCCAACTAAAATATTATTGCTCGCCCAGGTTTGGTATCGTCACATATTTCCAGTCATGTTTAATGTCAGTAGACATGCCAGCAGGGCGTCTTTAGATAACGCGGAGCGACGCCGCTACCACATGATATCATTTAGCCGAAATTAGATCGTACTGTATATCATGGCTAAGGAGCGGATTAATAACTGGGTTCGGGGCGCGAGGCGACGTCGTCATGTACAGTACGTTAGCAGCATTCTTAAATACGACCGCTCCACAGCCTGCGCTGTTCGCCATCTAAACATTCGACAGCTCGATCGATGTGCGCATGCGCTGGGGTGGTATTTAATTAGTGGATTTAGTGATTAATCTAGATTTAGGCGGATCTTTATATAGTGTGTGTGGTCAGGAGGCGAATTGATGAGAAATTAACTTGTATCGATAATCCTTTGACTGCAGGTAGGCCTACATCGTTTTTTGCCGTGTGTGGTTTATGTCGCGCGTCGCCGCTGTGTTGTTGTTTACTCTATAACACCTTCTGTTAACGGCTGTGAACGTGCATTTAGGGATAAGTTGCATGACTTGTAACCCGTATCGGTGGCGCGCGGTTTACCCACCGAATGTTATTTCGTAAAGCTCAGGCAGTTGTGTAACAGGTAGCGACGTAGCAGGTTCACATGTGCGCATTACATATACGCCAACGGACGCTTATATACGCGTGCAAGCATCTATACACGCACGCCACACACACGCGCAGCTCCGCCAGTCCCCATGCCCATCTCGAACGCAGAAAGAGATGCCACGCTTTATAAAAGGCCATCCCTATAGTTTACACTCTAAATATGTGTGAGAGGGTTATCAAGCCCACATGGATTGCAGAGAGAGCAGTTAATTAATTTTAGAAACATTTTTAGAAAACTGGAGGCGGTTGAGATATTTACGCTGACCAAGATTTCAAAGCCAAAGAATTTACCCTCAGTGGAATTTTAGCGCTTGCCGTTTGTTTACGCCTCTATGCAGACATTACAGTTATTGCATATTATAATTATGTGTGTTGCGGGGTGTGTGCGCGTCGTGTGTGTCGTGAAGTGTGTGGTGTCGTGTGCTGTGTGTGGGGTGTGTGTGGTGTGTGTGTTGTGTTGCTTTTGGCAGTCGTGTGTGTTATGTGTGCTCGCTGGTTGAGTGTGTGTGGGTGTGTGTGTGTGTGTGCCTTGTGTGTGTGTGTGCTGTGTGTATTGTGTTGTGTGTGTGTGGGGGGGGAGGGGGTGGCAGGTGTTTTGTGGGATGCTGTGGTGTGCGACTCAATGTGTGATGTGTGTGTGGTGGTGGCTGCGGCACTTGTGTGCTGTATGTGTGGGGTGTGTGTGCTCGTGTGGGCCCTGTGTAGTGAGGTGTGTGTGTGTGTGTGTGTGTGTGTGCGTGCGTGTGTGTGTGTGTGTGTGTGTTGGGTTGCATCGAATGTTTGCATGCTAATCGGATTCTTGTATATATGTAACTGGTGATGATAACATTCTTCTAATGGTTGTAGCCACTGCTAACATCGGCGACTCTATATAGTAGCATCATTGGGCATTGCAGGTGGCGTGATGCTACCTCGCCCAATATTAATTACACTGACATTTGCGCACCTTTGAGCTATTTCTGTAAAGTTTATTGCCATATAGTCGCGTTCACGGCATGGTTGCATCCGCAGGTTAACTATAGTTGTCATTTATTAATGTCAGCGAACACAGCAGCGTGAGTTGATCAGCCGCGATTTAAGGTAACTTGCTGACATTTAGCGCTAAAATACCGCGTGGATTTCTAACTGAATGGCTGCATGCAATTCGTTTCATATATCTGAGTATTTTCCCGTCGGGCTACCGCGGAGTGAATCGCGGCTGGACGTGCTTCGTGCGTGCAGGCGGTTATATAGAGAGCACGACACACGTGTGCTGCTGTCACGAACACAGATGGCGCTGGCGTCGGGTGAAGTCAGAGGGTTCGTCGTGCCCGCAGGGCTCTGCAATACGATCAACGGTTAGCGACCGACGACAACCTGTATTGGTCGCAGGTGCGCCCATCTAACAGCGATTTGAAATATAATGTCGAGTTGCGCTGTATAAAATTATACGGAATTTTTTTTATTCGTCGTCAAACCGTGCCGCGATGCCGTGCGCGTTATGCGTTAGCGCGGACGGTTATTTGTCCGGATTATTATTAAGTGCCCTTTTCCACTAGATTGCCATGCAGCATGCATTTAACGTGGTTTCTTGTTAGGTATTACGCGACACGACATCTCAGGAACGTGTCAGCATTGAATATAGATGCTATTTCGTTTTCGTGGCAAGCACAAAACAGAGCCGTGTACGCCCCGTGTGCTACTTAATTAACCAACAAGAAAAAACGACAGTTTAAACATTTTGCAACTGCAAACTAAAACTACTAACTGATAAAAAACAACAAATTTCGTTACTGGCCATCTGGTTTACAACAAACGCGAAAACATCTACGCATGGCTTCACGGGTCCCGAAGGTTGTGCTGGAGGTTACAAGACATGACAACAGATTATTTAGTAGTATCGGGTATAAATAATTTCACAAGCCGAATCAATTATTTTCAATTATATAGAGTGTAATATCTATCCTTCGCTTCGTCTCCAACTGCTATTAGTAAATCTATTATGTATACGTAGTTAGTCGAAATAACGAAGATATAAATATATATATATATATATATATACTATATACCATAATAGTATAAGTATTATCATATCCTATTCAGTGAGTCGGCTGCTGGCGTATGCACGCCGTTATGCTACATGATTAAATAAATGAAATGAATCAAATAAAGTGACGTGAGGCTTCATCCATCTGGAAGAAGAAGACATCTCTCTCGCGCGTCCTCGTCGGTCGCCGACGCGTCTCGCTGTATTTAATCGGCTATATATACGCAAATGTGCTTCCAGACGGCTGTAAGCCGACACCTAGTCGGCTGAGGCGCGTTCTCGCTGGGCGCACACACGCGCGGGTGGAATCTTATGGAGCACGCGAGCGTGAATGCATCGTGCGATCCCTGGCTCACACTTGATGGAGTAGATTGCAGACGAGACGGACGGGCGGACGGACGCCGACCGCGTTGCATGTGACTCGAGACGGGATCGCTGTGTCACGCGTCTTTCGATTTCGATGTATCGACATTGCTCGAAGACTCGATCAGCCGTGGGTGGGTTGGGTGGGGCGAAGACACGATCAGCCTTTGGGTGGGTGGGTGGCCCAAAGACACGATCAGCCGTTGGTGGGTGGGGTGGGGCGAAGACACGATCAGCCGTGGGTGGGTGGGGGTGGGCCAAAGACACGATCAGCCGTGGGTGGGTGGGTGGGGCGAAGACACTATCAGCCGTGGGTGGGTGGGTGGACCGAAGACTCAATCAGCCGTGGGTGGGTGGGGGTGGGCTGGGTGTATGTTGGTGTCCCAAAGACACTATCAGCCGTGGGTGGGTGGGTGGTGTGGGGCGAAGACTCGATCAGCCGTGGGTGGGTGGGGTGGGGCGAAGACTCGATCAGCCGTGGGTGGGTGGGGTGGGGCGAAGACACTATCAGCCGTGGGTGGGTGGGGTGGACCGAAGACTCGATCAGCCGTAGGTGGGTGGATGGCCCGAAGAAACAATCAGCCGTGGCGGTGGGTGGGTGGGTGGCCCGCAGACCAAATCAGCTGTGGCGGTGGGTGGGTGGGTGGCTGGAAGACACGTTCAGCCGTGGCAGTGGGTGGGTGGATGGGTGGATGGGGGCGGTCGTGTGAAGTAGGAACTTATGAAGCTAGGTGCTGTGCTAGCGTCGTACAGCTACGGTGGGTGTTCGCAGCATGATGCCGTAGGTAAGTAAAAATATTACAGAGAAAAGGCGATTATAGCGATACGATATTCAAGCATATATTTTAAGCATCGTCGGTATTGTAAGCATGTTCTTTTTGGTTTTCGTTTTAACGATTTTTGTATACTTACGTTTTACCCTAAGAGACGCGTTGTGATGGAGCTCCGAAAAAAAATAACTGCGCCGTGCTGCCGTAATGAAAAAAATCTGTTCCGTGACGCTTAGAGTTTATTTGAGTTTTTCGCAGCCATGCAAATGCGTTAAGCTGCTATTATGTGGGTTTGACACCGTGCGATACGTCCCGCTGTCACGGCTTTTGAGTTGATCGTGTTGTTGCCTGCTCACGGCGGGAGATTTGACGGGAAATCACTCAGTCACGTAATGCAACACATTTAATCTCGAATTCGTGCAACAAATAGCGTTGGTTTTGAAAAGGAAGGTCGGCACAGCGATTGGTAATGTATCGCGGTTTCCGCGCGTGTGCAGTGGAATTAAATTAGTGCAATATTGCGTGCAACAATTCTTAACTCAATGGGGTTATTTTGCCGCATATATATAATTATATATATATATATATATATATATATATATATATATATATATTGGCACAACTGCAGTTCGATAGCAGAGTTGTTTCTCAAATAAGGCTTCCGCTGAAAACTGGCTAGGATAAACTCAATATATATGTTATGGAAGTTTATTTGATACCATCTGCTTTCATTTTTACCTGGCGTGTGATGGCAGTGATATTGATAATCCTTCATCACTACTACGTGAAGCTCTCTCACTTTGATCATGGAATCGTGCTGCTAACACTCAATATCCGTTCCGAATTACACTGGCTCTCTCTTTCTTTCTTTCGCTTTCTCTCTCTCTCTCTCTCTCTCTCTCTCTCTCTCTCTCTCTCCCTCTCTCTCTCTCTCTCTCTCTCTCTCTCTCTCCCTCTCTCTCTCTACCGCGCGCTCTCTCTCTCTCTCTCTCTCTCTCTTCTCTCTCTCTCGTCTTCGTATATACTATTAATTATATGATATATCCCTCTCTCTCTCTCTCTTTCTCTCTCTCTCTTTCTTTCTTTCTCTTTCTTTCTCTCTCTATCGCTCGCTCTCTCGCGCTCTCTCTCTCTCTCTCTCTCTCTCTCTCTCTCTCTCTCTCTCTCTCTCTCTCTCTCTCTCTCTCTCTCTCTCTCTCTCTCTATCACGCGCGCTCTCTCTCTCTCTCTCTCTCTCTCTCTCTCTCTCTTTTAAGTCTCTAGCTTTACCTGGTTATTGTAGATCATTAGTTTTGTACGCATTTAGAAATTAGTCTGTGTCATCACCACCTGTGTTGTTCATCTAGCTTGCTGCCAACATCTATTGATGAATTCAACCAGGTCCGAATAGTAGCATCGTCCAGGGTTAACTTGTCTTTGCCAAATAATCGTGCACATAATGATGCTGCGAGCGCGCAATCATCCACGTCATTTGTGGCCGCTACCCACTAATGCCCAACGCTTGTGATGAATTATTGAAAATTCATTAACTCTGTTGTACAGGGACTGTGAGAGTAACGTTGTTGTGACGTAGCTTTAGAGTTGCGAATCTACCGCAGAAGTAGACGTAGACGGCTGCACTACTGAGTACCAGCGTTTTATGTTTGTAAGGGTGGATGGCTATGATGGTATTTGATAGTCGATGAAAATGCCGACAAGTTCCAGTTTCAGACCGATGGCATTTGCTGAACGGCAGCGAATTTGTGTTGTTCTTTATTTGTCTGAATAATTCATATTTATTCCTGCGATATTAGACTCGCGACATTTATCCGTAGCTTAGACTGAGTAGTCAGTCACATTAAATTTCTCGTCAAGTTGCTGAAATCAGTTGTTTCTTGTGGTAGAAGCATATATCTGCTTGAAATGCATTGGTGGCCAATATATAATCGCGCATAGTGTGCAGCCATGGGGAATTTGCGTCGAAAACTGCAATCACGTGCATTTCAACGGAGGTATTTATAACAGGCTTGCCCTGGCATTAACCAGGGGTCTCTCTGCGCCGTTCCTCTAGTCCAACGCAACAAAGATGAGTTCTAGATCCGTATTCACTGGAGCCGGATTATAAAAATGAATTCGGTTTCTCCCACTCCATGAGCTTGGAATAAATTCGAGACGTTCTCATTTTCGAAAATTGGATTGCAGTGGTTTGTAATGAAAGGATTTATAACCTAATGGAATCAGCATTTGAACTGAATATGACAGCGACGAATCATTATTCACACGTCACGAACAATATTTCACAAATAACCGAGTTTGCAATTTTCGGGAAAGTGCTACGACAAATGATTTATTCAGTTACGGCCGATGTGTCTAGTCCGGAGAACATACCCATCTCTCGCTGGGTATAGCTTGTCACGAGGATTGATGGCAGCCTGCTGATATTAGCGCCGATGCGAACCCGTTTGAGAGACGTCAAGATCTGCCATCGCGTGTAAAAGGTTCTAGCCCTCGCCGAGTCACGCGTGATCTGCCGCGCAATACATTGTGACACCGATATTGAAATCTCGGTAACGTAGTTATAATAACACAATAAATGAAATTAGATTCGACCGCGGGAAGTATACGGGCGGGTTATCGGCGTAGCAGAGAAGGTACGCCGCTGCTGCCGCCGCCGCTGCTGCTGCTGCCGCTGCTGCTGCTGCTGCTGCTGCGCCTACAGCATGGAGGAGGCATACGACTCATGTCATCGTGGCTTCAGATGGTCATGTGTTTTGCGAATAGCTGCGTCCAACTCGACATACGCGTTTTTGTTGACGTGTATCGGGGATAAGCGTGAGAGAATGATGATACGCAGAGTGTCTCGTTTGGTGGCAGAGCTGTGGTGTGCACACATGCGATATGCATGCGTGAGTTTAGTATAGGCACACGTCTTAACTCGTGCATGTCCGTCGCATATATGCGTACCAGGTGTAGTACCAATCGCCATGCGACACGCGCTTGTATGTCTGTTACTGATATACATGAACGAAACATTTTAGACGCATTGCTCGGAAGGCGCGCTTGTCCCCATCTCATATTGAACTCAATTGGTTCATGCTTATGACGTCACACCTGCGATAACCGAAACCGCGTCCGACATTTTGTCTACGCGTGTTTGCGTAGTAATTCGATACAATATATCCGATACTCAATATACACATCGGTTAGATAACTAAATTCGGCAGACGAATACTTTTTCCACGTTGAATAGTCACATACCCGAATCCCAAAACGTGACTTAGTCTATAATGTAAACAAAGACCTCCTTTCTGCCATTGTGAGAACCAATGAGCTATATTATACGATTATACTATATGCTACTATTTTACTATAACTATTACTATACTATACTATACTATACTATACTATACTATACTATACTATACTATACTATACTATACTATACTATACTATACTATACTATACTATACTATACTATACTATACTATGCTATGCTATGCTATGCTATGCTATGCTATGCTATGCTATGCTATGCTATGCTATGCTATGCTATGCTATGCTATGCTATGCTATGCTATGCTATGCTATACTATACTATACTATACTATACTATACTATATACTATATACTATATACTATATACTATATACTATATACTATATACTATATACTATATACTATGCTATGCTATACTATACTATACTATACTATAATATACTATACTATACTATACCTATACTCATACTATTACTATACATATACTATACTATACTATACTATCTATACTATACTATACTATTACTATACTATTACTATACTATACTATACTATACTATACTATACTATACATACCTATACTATACTATACTATACTATACTCATACATTACTATACTATACTACTAACTATACTATACTATACTTATACTATCCTATACTATACTATACATATAACTATACTACACTACACTACACTACACTACCTACACTACACTACACTACACTACACTACACACACTACCACTACACTACACTACACTACACTACACTACACTACACTACACTCACACACTACACTACACTACACCACACTACACTACACTACACTACACTACACTACACTACACTACACTACACTACACTACACTACACTACACTACACTACACTTACACTACACTACACTACACTACAACAAATACACTACACTACACTACACTACACTACACTAACTACACTACACAAAATACACTACCTAACACTACACTACACTACACTACACTACACTACACTACACTACACTACACTACACTACACTACACTACACTACACTACACTACACTACACTACACTACACTACACTACACTACACTACACTACACTACACTACACTACACTAAACTACACTACACTACACTACACTACACTACACTACACTACACTACACTACACTCACTACATACACTATACTATACTATACTATACATCATATATATATAACTATATATATACTAACTATACTATACTTCTAATTACTATACTATACTATACTATACTATATTATACTATACTATACTATACTATACTATACTATACTATACTATACTATACTATATATACTATACTATAACTATTTTACTATAGCTATGTATAATATAGCTCCTTGGTGAGAACTAGATCGACTGTATATTACTCCGTATATTACCTACACTGACTTCACGCTTACTTGAATCTCCAGTCGTTCAACACTTGGCTATCATTACGCTGGTCATCTAATGACGTTGAGTTGGCTTTGCCGGGTTGACTGGAGCCAATGACTTTCTGCCATTGTGAGAACTAGATTCAGTATTACCTACGGCTGCCTTTACGTTTACATGAATCTCCAGTCATTCAGCACTGGCCTATCTTCATGATTGTGGTCACCTAATGACGGGTTGACTTTGCTTCGCAGGTCAAACGCGACCAAGACGAGCGG